AAAGAATACAAAATACCTCTAAACATAAAATTACCAATTTGCCCTCGGCATTTGATGTTTCGTAAAATCTGAACCGTAACTTCGATTTTGATTCCGCTTGCGCCTACGCGTTCATACCGTCGAGGACTTCGAGGATGCGCTAAAATAATAGTTTGTACATGTCACGAAAAGACAGTCAACGAAAATCAACAATCTTTATTGTAATGGCATTTTCATGAATTCACACCTTTAAAATTAATAAAATCGTAGAATTAGGGACAAGTTGTCACATAAACCATTGTTAAAATGGAGTTCCATCCTCAAGAATATCAACGAAAGCTCTTACATGAATTTTCTAAACCTCACAATGCAGTGAAGGCGAAAGAAAATAGATTTAATGAGAACTTTTGAACAAATTTGCAAAACAACAAAAAATTGGTCATGGTTAGCCCATGTTTTGTGAAAGAAAAAAAAATGAATTTTTTAATTTTTGTGAAATATTTTTTGTCATGATTAAAATTTTTTATAAGGTAGTTGAGAAAGATTTTACCATTTATTGAGCGATAAATATGTTTTAAATAGAATTTTGAAGCAGAAAACCGAAAAAATAAACTGAAAAAATGGTGATGGGATTCAAAACATTGCTGAAACGATACATCATCCTCAAGATTATGAACGAAAAGTGTTGGATGAATTTTCAAGAGCTCATTGTGCATTGAAGGTGTAAGCTTATAGACTTTATGACAATTTTTGAATAATTTTGCAAAACCACCTAAAAATAGCGATGACGTCCAAGCTTTTTGACAAAAATTCAAATTTTTATTTTTTGCCAAATATTTTCCCTCAATATTAAAAAAACAAAAAATCTTTATAGGACATTTGGAACCGGTGTTACAATTTATATGAACCACAAATGAATTTTTAATAGAATATATTTATGCCGAAAAACTGAAAAATAAATGGAAAAAAGAAGCAATGGGACCAAAAATATTGCCGCAACAAGACTTCATCCTCGAGATTATTAATGAGAAGTCTTAGATGAATTTTCAAGACCTCATGGTGCATTGAAAGTGAAAGCGACTTTATGACGATTTATTTTACAAAACAACCTAAAAACTGTGGTGGTTAGCACTTTTTTTTTTTTAGAAAAATGCAATTTGTTTTCGTGAAATTTTTTCGTCATGATTAAGAAAAGCTTTATAAGGAATTTAGAAGTGGTTTTTATTATTTATTGAGCTACAAATGAATTTTAAAAGAGTTTTTAAGTTAAAAACTGAAAAATAATGGAAAAAAATAGTAGTGGGGTGAAAACTTTGCCAAAATAGAATTTCCAAACTCAAGAATATCAAAGAAAGGTCCTATTTGAATTTTCTAAACCTTACGGCGCAGTAAAGGTGAAAGAAAATAGATATTATGACAACTTTTGTACAAATTTGCAAAACCGCCTAAAAACCGTGATGGTTAGACAACTTTTTGAGAAAAAATGCAATCTTTTTAATTTTGCGAAATAATTTCGTCATGATTAAGAAAAACTTTATTGAGCCACAAATATTTTTAATATAATATTGAAGCCAAAAACTGAAAAAATAAATAGAAAAGAAAAACAATGCGCCCCAAAACATTGCCAAAACAAGACTTCATCCTCAAGATTATTAATGAAAAGTGTTATTAGATGATTTTCAAGACCTCACGGTCTATTAAGGTGAAAACATATGGACTTTATGACGATTTTTGTAATATTTTGCAAAAAACCGCCTAAAAATCGTGATGGTTAGAACACAGTTTTTGAGACCAATTAAAAAAATTGCCAAATTTTTGCCGTTATGATTAAGAAAAACTTTATGAGAACTTTGGAAGCGATTTTTCTATTTATTGAGCTACAAATGAAATTTTAAAAGAATTTTTAAGCCAAAAGCTGAAAAATAAATGGAAACAATAGTAGTGGGGCGAAAACATTGCCGAAATGAAATTCCAAAAGTCAAAAATATCAAGGAAGGATCTTACATGAATTTTCTAAACCTCACGGTGCGGTGAAGGTGAAGGCAAATAGATTTTATGTCAACTTTGTACAAATTTGCAAAACCACGTAAAAACCGTGGTAGCCCCTTTTTTTTTTTTTTTAAATGCAAATTTTTTTATTTTTAAGAAATATTTTCACCATTATTAAAAAAACTTTATAAGGCAGTTGAAAGATGTTTTACCATTTATTGAGCCACAAATATATTTTAATAAAATATTTAATCCGAAAAATGGAAAATTTAATTGAAAAGAATAGTAGTGGGGCAGAAACATTGCGAAAAGGCAATACCAAACTCAAAGAATATCAATGGAAAGTCTTACATGAATTTCTAAACCTCACGATGCGGTGAAAGCCAAAAGATTTTATAACAACTTTTATATAAATTTGCATAACTACCTTAAAATCGTGAAGGTTAGCCCACATTTTTAGAAAGAAAAAAAAAAGCAAAAAAAAAAAACATTTTTGCGAAATAATATTCGTCATGATCAGAAAAAAATTTAATAAGGAATTTGGACGATTTTAGTATTTAATGAGCCGCAAATATATTTCTGAAAAATAAATTGAAAAGAAAATAGTGGGGTGAAAACATTGCCGAAACGCAATTCCAAACTCAAGAATATCAACATAAAGTCTTACATTAAATTTTGTAAAACTCACGGCATTGTGAAGGTGAAAGCAAATAGATTTTATAACAATTTTTTTACAAATTTGCTAAACCGCCTAAAAACATTATTCTCAACATGTTTTTTGAGAGTAATGCAAATTTTTTATTTTTTCAAAATATTTTTGGTCATGGTTAAGAAAAACTTTGTAAGGCTGTTGAAAGGGGTTTTAATATTTATTGAGCCACAAATATATTTTCAATAGAATATTTAAGCCGAAGACTGAAATTCAAAAGTGCCAAAACACTGACAAAAAGAAATTTAAAACTCAAGAATATCAACGGAAGGTCTTACATGAATTTTTTAAACCTCACAATGCGTGAAGGTGAAAGCAAATAGGATTTTTTTTTATTACAACTTTTGTACAAATTTGTAAAACCGTCTAAAAACCGTGATGGTTAGCCATCATTTTTTTGAAAAATGCAAATTTTTTATTTTTACAAAATATTTTGTCATGATTAAGAAAAAAATATAAGGCAGTTGAAAGAGGTTTTACCATTTATTGAACCACAAATATATTTAATACAATAATAAACTGAAAACTAAAAATATAAATGAAATAGTAGTGGGGTCCAAAATGTTGCCGAAACGGGACTCATCCTCAAGATTATTAACAAAATATTTTAGATGAAATTTTAAGAGTTCACGGTACGTTGAAAGGTTAAAGCAGAGACTTTATAAAAACAATATTTTGGGCGCTAACAAAATTTAAGAAACTTATGGTACGGTGAATATGGGATCTAACACTAACAAATTCTTTTCAAAAAAAAAAAAGGACAACTTGTAGCAAGTCACAGTTATTCATCCATTCCTAATCCAAAGAAGCTATGAAAAATTTCATCTTGCTCGTGACCACAATCAAGTAGATTCACCAGCTTGAAACATTTAACAAATTAACAATGACAGAGTTCTAATGTTTTAAGTTATTATTGCCTATAGAAAAACAAACTATTCATATGATATATATGGCCCTACCATTCTTTCTTAGAACTCATAATGCATGTGATGTTTGTTCACTGGTTCACATCATTGCTGTTTCTGGTTTTTTTTTGGTTTTTTATTTTTTTTTTTTATGCACTTCTCCTTGGTTGTTAAAAATACAATTTCCTTTTCTGCTTTACTTTATTTCTTCCATTCCATGTGAAGTTGTTGTAAAAAAAGAAGCCATTTTTTCTTTCATTCTATGTGAACTGATTGAAGATGAATGATGATGTGTGTCTAGATCTATGTTATATTCGTGGAGAAAATTTTAGTTGATGAGGAAGAGAGAGATATACAACTCGACATATGTAAGTTGTTCTATATTTCTTAAATAGTTTTTTTTTTACTCCCTCAACCATAATACCCTCTGTTTTGCATTATATTTATACGAAACTTCATGTAAAAATATAAGATATTTTAGGCATCAAGTCATTTCATTCATTCTCTGGCATTAAATGGATATGACCCACACAATGGAGAATTTCGTTTGGACCACGGCCAAGTTAATACAATCCTTAGTTGTTCTGAATGGTCCTTCCTCCTCCTTGACTCGAAGAGCAATGAAACTCACAAGCCACAAACAAACTTGCAAGGATCAAAGCACTTGGTTTTGATAACCACCGCAGGGTGGCTCAATGGTTGGGGATGAATTCTAGACAAATATTTCACACAGCACATCTTGGGTTAGATTTTGGCGCTGGTGAATCGTACGATAGTGGTCATGGGAGGCTAAAATGCCTAGTCTTTTCAGCTCCCTGAATGATTGACTGTTGTGGCAAAGCCACCAACTAGTCCCTTTAAAAAAATAAAAAAACATTTGGTTTTAATTTTTTGGTAAGCCTCCTCGTCAAGGACTTTATGCAATTGGAATGTCATAACAATATGTGATTATATATGATAAGTTTGTAATACCGTCATCTCGATATCCTAGTTGCCTCAGGAATCTTCATCACTCGACTATGCAAATGGCCTTAAGCATTATTGCAGAGGCCCTACAAAACCATGCCCAGTACACCATTACAATCACACAACTCCAATGGAGTAGAACATGCCAAGCTTAGCTAGCTACAGCCCATCATAACCCTTTTCTCTTCTCACCACAAATTGCCAACAAATTTACTAGGTCCACTCTTTCTAATTATCTTTATTTCTTTCTTTTCTTTCAGATTTTTTGCTTTCAAAATGCAATGCTTTAAACTACAAGAAGGAAAATCTAATTCAAGTGCAAGAATCAAACACAGTATCCTAATCAACGGACCTAACTCACTTATGTTTTTTCTTTAAGTATAGAAACGTTTCATACGAATTCCTGGATTAAATCCAATGACGAGACATTCATCTGAAATACCACAACAAAATAGAAGAATGAAATTTATTAGTACAAATGAATCACTGATACAATGATAGAGAAAATACAAGGACATCAAATGCCAACCCCCACGATCCTCTTTATTGGCCTAAAATTGAACCATCCTCACATTCTCACCAAAAATAATTATACATCATATAATACAAATCCACCAACAAAAAGATCAACCACACCCATACAATTCTATCAACAATAAATAATTAAATTAAAACCTGAAATTTAAAAATCATGCTTAGAAGAAGAAGCCAAAAGCCAAAGCTGCTAGAGAAGCAAAGAAAGTGGGGGCAAATGTGAAGGCATCAGATGTTGGGCTTGGAGCTGGAGCATCAGCTGCAGCTACTTGTTGAATGCCTGAGAAGGCCACCATCATAACCACCAACAAAGCAACAAAAAGATTCATCTTCATTGCCTCCATTTCTTGATTTCTAAGTAAATAATTTGGACTTTAGAACAATGAAAGGGAGAAAGAAAGAAACTTGATTGCTTATATTGCAATAGAGGAAGTGTAAGGACAATGGTGAGGGTTGTAGGCTATATATACACCCTCAGAGAGAGGAGAGAGAAAGAGAGAGACTAGAGAGAGAGAGAGAGATATTCAATTTTTCAATTTTCAAAGGCTGCTGAACTGCCAAAATTCCCTAACCCAGATCCTCTCCGGATCTGGTGAAATCTGAGCCTAAGGATTAAATGATCCGGACTGTTGAAATTTGATCAAACGGTTACAAACAAAAAACCTCTCTAAAAGTTATAATAATTGTAGTTCGTTGGATCAAAATCGTTTAATTATTAAGCTCAGATTTCCCAGATCCTCTTCTGGGCTCAAAATTCCCCAAGGTGAACGTTAGGGGGGTTGATGAAGTTGACACTTGACAGGGTGGCTTTGGCATTGTTGCCACACAACTGTCACTTTGCCTCAGGGTCCCCCTACATTCGCTGTCTTCTAAAAGAAATCTTAACTATTGTTTTGCATTTTTTATAAGTTTTTTTCACTTCCATTTTACTAATTAAATTCATTAAAGCATGTTTAGTTGTTTACTTATAATAACGTCATGAATCGAGAAAGTTAAAAGTTGGAGAGAAAAGAGAGAGAGCCAACTTGTATGGGATCAGCTCGCTTTCTTCTAATCAGTCTAATTCTTAATTTTTTCAGGTAATGAACTTACCAATTGTTTCATGGAGATCACATACTTTTTTATAGTATAAATATCAGCAACAAATGAATGAGAAGTTAGGAATTGGATTCAATATAACATAGTATAAATTCTAACTTGATAAGTAAACAAATGAATGAGTCATGGTGGTTGAGTTTACCAATCATTAGGTGAATGTTTTGCTTTTCTTATGGGGTTTATTATGGGATTTGGTAGGAAATGAGAGGTGATGATGAGCTGGTTGTAGGATAATGTTATGTTTGTTTAACAATACCAGTACTACAGTGGATTATTATATGCACTTGTGCTGCTTTTATTTACATAATATACTAGTATGGGTTTGTAGCTGTATTGCAAGTAATGTTAATTGTATTTTCACAATCTCCTTTTCTTCTTCTGCACTTTTTCTTTTATTTTTGTCCTTAATTCTTTTTCAATTTATTCAATCTAAAAGCTAGAAAGAAAAAAAAAAAAAAACCTTCAAAATATGCATAGAAAGAAATTAAAACGAGTGCGAAAATCAACTCCCTAAATTTTAGCTTAAAATCCAGATGAAAGGGAAACTGGAACTGCTTGTGGTCTCTGCAATGGACAATGGTAGTGGGAAAGCTGGCTTAGAAACTTGGAAATAAGAAATGAGATGGGTCACCGAACTTACCTGCTGGGTTGGCGTGTTGTCCATATCAGATTCATTCTGTAACTACACAGTTTTGAAAGTGGGATGGTACCAATTAAAGTCTAACTGAACCAAATGTGAATCAAATCAAACATGGAAATTTGATCTAATTATTTAAGACTGAATATAGGTGGAAAATCTTCATTCCTAATTTTAACAAATCATTACATGTTATATTATAAAAACAATGTATTAATGTAAAATATGAAAATTAATTAAAGTCTGAGTCAGCAAATTTTGATCATATAATCACGAAAAATTCTCTTGTATATGTGAATGGGTCAAAAGAAACAGAAATTGAGCTATGGTCATCATATTATCACGAGCACGAGCCTATTGCATCAGTGCTATCTAAGCTCCAACTCTTTTGCATATGGCAAATGATATACAGGTACGCTTAATATTTTCTTTGAAACTGAAAGGAGATTTTTAGAATTAAACAAACTGGGCCAATCTATAATAAACAAATGAGAATAAAACGAATTTTGTTACTCTCTCTTATGCATCTACCTAGCCTTTCATTATCTATATCATGTCTAAGTAAAAAAGAAAAAAAAAAAAAAAAAAAAAACTCAGTCTTTACTATGTTGAAAGAGAATATGAGTTTAAATTTCATAAATGATTATACACAAAGAAAAATATAACAAAAGAAATTTTAATTGAATTCGCAAATAATGAATGTAACGGCGGCTAGAGAATCATATGACCCATTAATATACTAATATGTGACTTGCCAAGAATGAAGAGTTGAAAAGACATGCAAAGTTGTAAAATAAAAACATACATAAAATAGGATAGTATTTTTTACAGTGATATTCTAAACCACTTTTAACTTAAGAGATGGTGGTTCAAACATGAGACTAGGAGGTACAAACCATCAAACCATTTCCAGTTGCCTATCCTTTTGAGTTTCTTGCATATATGCCTGGTTTTCTTCTGTGGGTGACTAGTACTGTTTGACGACATCGGGATCAATTTGCACTTTCCTCTCTACCAAATTGCTTTAGCTTGCAAGGTAACTATTTGTTAACCTAATATAGACTTCCATTTATACTCCAACGCCTCGCAAATCAATGCTATGCAGGTTTTCGATTCCAATCGATAATTCGACACTGCGCATCAGCAAGTTAAACAAGACACTTTTTTTGGTCATGCAAGTTAAACAAGACTACATGGAACAAAAAAAAAAAGTAAATACGATGTACTTTGGGGTACATCCTAATTTAAGTGTGAATTACCTGATATGAAATCATCTGCGTACTCCTCATTGATTTTTCCATGGGCCATTGCACCCACCTGATCGAGCATAAATAAGTAGTAGTCATGGTCATTTCAAAATTTTAAGATAAATAGAGCAGCAAGTAGTGCAGTCCTAAAATCATAAGCAATTCAGATTCTCAAACATTCCACAAAAACAAGACCCTGATCATCAACACCGGCAGAATTAACATACTTATCTATGTCAACCAACTTCTCTGCACTATAAGAGAGACCTACAAATATCCCAATTATAATCAGTAACCTCAGAATTTAGGCTACATAGAGAGAGAGAGAGAGAGAGAGAGAGAGGTCAAATACTCGCCTACTACACGAGAGTTGACAGGTAAATGTCGAGTTACAGGTTCCTCGATGACATGCATAAGTACTTCATTTGTATCTTCGGTCCGTATACATTTCTCCCTTAGTAACTCCACTTCAGAAATTGAAGATTCAAAAGACAAATCAATCAATAAGTTCTTCATGATCGATCAAGAAGTATTTTGGAGAGGCGGTAATGTAGGATGATCGAATATATCAGAAATGGAACATAAAACAAGTTAACTTACACATGACTCCACAAAAGCGTTTACAGGTTCTTGGTATACGAACGTGCGATTTAATTTCAAATAACACTCCTTCATCAGTTTTCACATACACAGCTCGTACCATACCAGCTTTATTCAGTTTGCTATCCAATATCTCACGGAGAGCCTGCAGAATAATATGTTACATTCATGGAGAGCCATAGACTATAATATAAGAATAGAGACTTGTTATTAGTGCACTCTAAAATGGTCTTTCTCCCTCCTTTAAATTTTGGATAGTGCTATTCACACATCCATTTTTACCTCCAACACAATCTTGTTAATTTTTTATCATTGATATTTTTCAGTTCGTTCAACCCAACGGCCGAAAATTAAGAAAAAGTGTAAGAAGTAAAGTGTGGATAGCACTACCTAAATTTTTTCACTAATGAGGAGTGTAGTTGCCGATAACAATTCCCTAAGAATATAAGCATGAATTAATACAGACAAAATCTTAGCAACACTCCATGATCATCCATTGCTAAAATTAATATTAAAAAAAAAATGCTAAAACTAATATTCCCACATGAGAAAGAAAAAAAAAAGCGTTAAAATTTTGGTTGCATTCGGTAGCAAGGTGTACGTTAATCTCAATCCAATACCCAAATTTATTGTTTAAGTTATAACCTAGACTTGGGATTAAACTTGCCACTCAAAAACTTTGAAAAAAATTAATGTTAATATATATTGTTCGAGCTAGGTTGAAACTAGGAGCTTTGATTTCTAAAAATATAATTAATTTCTTATATATAAACACCAACAAATCACAAACCTGGTAAACTATTGCAGGCCTAAAATCATCCAGATTCTTGTTCTGCTTGAGAAGAAAATCACGGTCGTCATCCGAATCCAGAATCTTCCACCTCTGAAACATAAGAAACGTTAAGTTGTATGCATATCAAATGAAGATTTCTATTTTCATTTTTTTTTTCTTTTTTGGAAGTGTATGTACCTTATGGACGAAACCCTTTGTGAGAGAAGCGTTTCGCAGAATGAATATTATTGGGCGGGACTTCATCGTATTCGGCTGATGATCGTGAAATTGTTTTTTGTTGTTGTTCAATAAGTTCAACTCCATTGTACTTATTGTAGAATTGTCTTCCCTCTTCCGCTTTGCCATGCCCAACTTACGCTTTTGTACTTTGTAGACAAGTGTGGCAGTATTTGGAGAACTTTGCAGTATAGTGATGGGGGCTTCTTAGATAAATGAAAACCCTAAATCTGAAAGAAATTACCAACAAATTACCTCCTTGCCGTCTCCCTTCTCCCTTCCCCCTCAAACTCCTTTTCTTATTGTTTTCCTAAAAGAGAAAACCATTGGGGACTACTAATAAGCCCGGTTGACGAGGCCAGAGCGTTGCAGCCGGCATGCTTGGTGGGAAGGGTTTGGTGGCTGCGGCACTAGGGTACTGTTGGGTGGTGGTTGTTTTTTTTATTTTTTGAGTACATCGATATTTTTACACTAGAAGAGAGGGAGTTCGGCTAAACCATAGAATAACAGCCTGATTTGGTATCGAATTCGCCATCTACGATATTCGAACCTAAGACCTCTTACTTCTAAACCGTAGTACTGAGTGGCACTATTGGGTTGTTATTGGAAATAGGGCTTTGTATTCTAATAAAGAATACGAGGCAAATAAGTCCGGTAGTACAGTAGGATTTCCAATCCTAAAAGAAAAAGAAGGAAAGGGATCCTCTCTGGATCTCTTACACCAAATCCTATTAATCAACAAATCTGGGCCCTTGAAATTTGATCCAACGGCTAAAAATAGGGGATCCTTTTAAAAGTTATAATAACTTTAACCATTGAATCAAATTTCAAGAGCCCGAATTTGTTCATTGGTAGGACTCGATAGAATGAATCTGGAGAGGATCTCTTTCCGAACAAGAAAGCATGCCTATATAGATAGGAGTAGTAGGAAAGAAAGCATGCCTATATAGATTGGAGTAGGAGTAGGATCCACATTGGATTTGGGATGTTGGATGATGATAAATGATATGCTGATGAGATAGGCCATGTGTGCCCCTAAGCCACCAATTCACTAGCATATGCCCTATAATATGAGAGCAGTTTGCATGAAACTCACCACAACGTGATGTTTCGATTTAATAACACATTGTTATGTGAAGAAAAATTTATACATAGCAATACATTATTGGACAAAAGACATCATATGACGATAACATATTCTGTGTAAGTCATTCTCCTCAATTCCATATTAGTCATTCTCTTTTAACATGAGAAATTCTTTTGTGAGGGTCATGGGTGTGGTGTAACCGTGTTAGATGGGAGGACACAAAATAGAGCCCGTTGAACCTGACAAAATCATGGGATAGGGGTTAAGCCCGTTACAGCGAAGTACTTCTCTTTCCGTGGGGTGACAAAGGGTTGAAGGGTCAGACAGTTGGAGGGAAACCCATCCGACCCTCCATTTGACATCCGACGGTGAAAATCGTTTTGGACATGTTCAAGTGTAACAAAGAGAATAGAGATTAGTGATTGGAGGAGTGCAACAAAAATAAATCAAAATAGGGTGAAAAAGCAAATGAGAAACAGAGGCTCTGATAGAGGAAGAGGAGGAAGAAAGAGAGACTCGCAGCAGTTTTGAGTGAAGATGACAAAGAAAAGCGGCGAGGTTTGATCACTAAGCGTTTCAAAGAAAAAAACGAACACACAACCCACAACCCACATATCAATAACATCTTCACTCCTACCTGTTAATTTTATTTATTTATTTTTCCAATTATTCTGGAGAAAAAGTGAGGCCAAAGTTGTTCATCTTTTTTCAGTTTCTCCTGCTGCTCGGCTGCCATCACACTATGTAATTAAGTCCTCTTCTTTAAATATCTCTTCTTCTGATTGCATAATCTTCATGGCTGTTTGGTCTGTTCGGTTTCCAATTGGGTTCCTTTGGTTTTTTTTGCCTTTTATTTCTTCTGACACTTTCTCAGCAATCAAAAAGAGCAACGGATGACTATAATGTTGTTTTTATTCGATTGATTTGTTTATGGGGTCATCTTAACTCCACTGAAATGCAGGGCTGTCTGAGGAAAAGTGCATTTTTTACGGTTATCTCCATAGATCTTGAGGTTAGTTTTCAGTTCTCTACATGCTGGGGAAATTATCTTCCACTTTCTCGTGGTTTCTATTGTTTTTTGCGTGGAATTCCAGATGGGTAATCTCTAAATTTATGGTTGCAGAGATGGAAAAGGAAGGGAAAACCTCTAAAGCCACAGAGTCGGACTTTTTGCTGCAATGGGGGAACAGAAAGAGGCTTAGATATTCAAACTTGAATAAGGACGCAACCTTGAGCAACAACAAAAAACCGTCGGACTGTTTAAGGAAGAAGAAAATCACTTCTCGGGCCGCCGATAAAGAGTCTCCGGCTCCTCATCCACTGCCCAATCGCATGGACAAGTAAGAAACATTGATGGTTTTATTTGAACACGGTGCAAAAATGTCGACTTTTTAAAATTGAAGTATGCTAGATATTTTGTTATTAAAGTGGTTTGAAGCAGCTGTTGTTGAACTAAGAGCTTACATGTTTATCTTCTGTTTTGTATTCTCTGAAATTTTTGAAAGATCCCTTCTCAAAAATAAAGAAATGGGAAAATGGAAGTGATTTTTGCTCATCCCTTTTCTCCCCATGCACACTCTTTCTGACATTTAGATTGAATAAACGAAAATCAAGAGACATTAACAGCAGAAAATGATTGTGCGAAACTTCAATGAGAAAATTCTGGTTTAATACCTTCATTGGTTAGTAGTAAAAAAATTGAACAATCCTAGAATCATGGAAGTGTTTTGATGACATTGTTCGTTACTTTTAAGTTTGCAAAATTGTCAATGAAAAAGTCTACGTCCAGTGGAATAGAGGTAACATTTTACCAAGTGGATTGCAGGAGTTCAGCTTCGCCAAGGAATAGTAGGAAGCTATTTGTTACTTCACCGGAGAAGGAAGATCGGTACTACACAACGAGGGGTTCATTAGGGTTGGACGAGAATGGGAAGGTGTTAGGATTAGATTATCCTGGTTCTGCAAGGGATGACAAAGGAAGCCATGCTTGGCCAAGGTTATTTCTATCATTGTCTAGTAAAGAAAAGGAAGAGGATTTCATGGCTATGAAAGGGTGTAAGCTACCTCAAAGGCCCAAGAAAAGAGCAAAATTGCTCCAGAAAAGCCTACTTGTAAGTTGCTCAGGGGGGAGAGAGAGAGAGAGTGTGTGTGTTTATTTGTTTGTTTGTTTTTATTTTTATTTTTTATTTTTTTTTGTGAGTGGTTTGTTTTATTCTCACTTCCTTGTGCAGTTGATTATGCCCGGTGTATGGTTATCGGATTTGTGCCAGGAGCGGTATGAAGTGAGGGAGAAGAAGACTTCAAAGAAGGTATTCTCGTCTCTCTTGCGTTAATTCTCAGTTACGTCTAAACTAAATTGTTCCATCCTAAATGCTTGGCTTGCTGGGATGAGAAGAAAACAAATTTGGATTTGGAATCTCAGATTGCTTTTAAATGTTTGGGTCCTCAAAATCGTGTAACAAATCGAAATGTCATGTGATATTTTCTCTCCTGTTTATTTTCCTAAGAATAGTTCTGTTAGGTATAACCACGCAAATCTGTAACTGTTTGGGATTCCATTACGATGCAGAGACCCAGAGGATTGAAGGCCATGGGAGGTATCGATGGCGAATCAGAATGAGAGAAACATGTGAACAAAAGGCAAGAAGATGCAACTTTTTTGAGTAGTTTGGACTCCGTATGCAACTAGGGACAGAGATCAAAGCCGGGTAAAAGAAAAATTGAAAGAAACGGCATGATCTCTCTTCCTTTGGTTTGTCAATGTGTTGCTAACAACTTGATTCGAGCAACAGTCCAATTCTGTTCAAACTTGATTGCAGAAAGACGCACATTTCTTTACCCAACTTAGCAAAAGCCCAGTTCTTACGATGGTAACTTCAGTCTTTACCTTCTTTTGGTCATTATGTGAACATAAAAGATGCATGCAACAGTAGAACGAAACATGATAATGCATGTTACTCTGAATTAATGAAACAGAGAGAATCACATTGGAATAATTAAATATTTTGTACACTTGGGCTCCATTGGTTGACACTAGACACCTCAAAACTGCAGCTAAAACAAGATAGAATTCTAGCTACATTTGCCAACTTGTATCTCCCTCCAACTAAACATATCCTATTACTTTCCTATTCTTCCCTCTCATTTACAACATCATTGCCTATATTCATTCGATGCAAAACAATTAGTTGTATGTACAGATACAATTACAAAACCCCCGAAAGCCCTCTTCCACGCTGGCGGTAGCAAATGATACACATTGGCGGCCAGCGAGGAGTGTGATTAGTTTTCTTTCACAAGCACCATTTCGCATCACATGCATGTGTCTGAAATACGCCTGCCTCTTACTCAATCTTGCGACTGAAAGACCCATCTGATTCTCGGTGCATTGAACTTGGAGAGCTGAGTGCCACTAATCAAATGAATTCCACACCTGGCCATCTTTGAATTTTCAGCAATCAGAGAATCAGTCGCATCATAAGTTGCCTGCCCTGCTCAGAAGTACATCCGTATTAATAAGTCCTTGAAGAAGCTCGAAAGCCATACGGAAGAGGACTGACTACTGCATTGAATTAGACACAAACAGAAAATTACCTTGATGTCATGTCTTCTAATTTGTGGTCACTGCAACTTTCCAGCAGGTAGACGCGGTCCATGTCCAGCCCAAGCAATTCAACATTTTTTTAAACACGTTCTCAGACCAAAGGAGGAAAAGACAACTCAAGAGGCACCACAGCATACTACAAGGCTTCCAAGGTAATTGATGCTTTTGTGAAAACAGAAAGAACAAATGGAGCTTCTTCCCCTGGATGTATAGTTGTAGGCACTATTGTGTAACCTTTTGGATCTGGATCCAAAACAATTTCACAAGATATTTCTCGAGAATTGACGTAATCTGTCCCATCAACTGATTCATGTAGGTATATATTGTAAGCAGCGCGACGACCTCGAGTTTTGAGTATCCTCATCCCAATGTAGAACATCATTGAATCATGACTGGATTGATAATTTCTGAAACCAGCAACTGTTCTTGAGAAGCTCACACCCTAAGCATTAAACAAGTGATAAAAGTTTATAAATCCAGTTATAAAAAAAAATAGCTAATTGTTCAAGGAGGTCCAATTCTAAAGATACCTGTGTCAACGTGATGAATACATGAATTGGAAGCGAAGCATCTGGCCCAGTGGCCCTCAATCGGAACTGTGGATTTTGATGCCATGTCTCATAATCTTGGCAGCCACCAGCACTATAACCTCGCCATTGGCCATGAACAGAATAGCGCATCTCAGGGGGGTAGATACGACAAACATATATTGATCGAAAATGAATTTGGAAGTCTTGCCAGGACATCCAGAATATGCCGTCTTTTGACTGTAAAGAGAGACGAAAGAAAAATATTATGAAACATGTTTTGAGATCATAACCGCTCCACGAAAAGTAATGACAAGGTAGATTCACATATGTGATGTGGGAAAATGAAACAGTAAACAACCTGCTGAACATGCTTCAACTTATGCTTCATCCTATCAGTCCAAAGAGGTGATGAGTCCGACCAAGGGCCATTCCACTCAACTTCATTAGCCCATGGATTCCGAATCTGAATAAGCTTGTGGCCATCCACCTCTCTCACCTGAATTAAAAAATAATTGATCAATGAGGCCACCTTACGCAAGTTTCATTTGCTGAAATACAATAAGACATGACTAAGACACAGTAGTATTCCAACTCACCTGCAATAACGAGTAGGCATGACCTTGCACAATGCCACTGGAGGAAACATGTACATCTGAACCTGATGGACTGCCAGCACCAAGAAGAAAGCCTTCTTGTTTGAAACGCAGCAATTGAGACCATAGTCGACCACTTGCAAGATCAATTTGGGCCTGAGCACTCCTCATGTCAATCTCCTCGCCAGCACCTCCAGTAAGGTCGACAAGAGCATCTTGGACAAGCCCACCTTCTAATGCTTCATAGGAGCCATGCAATTTAGCATACGCCTTCTCCACTAAAGAAACCCATAGCTCGTTACCTTTCCTACTAGTAGCAAACGCTGGTTTCCCCGGTGACTCACATGGAATCCAATCATCAACAACAACAGGAACCCACTCACCCTAAAGAAAGGTCAGGAACAAGCTTTAGCATGCTACTATTAAAGAGTGGGAATTCAATTTCGTTCTATTAGAATAGTCTCCAAGAACTCTAGCATTTTAATGATCATCTAGCTGCATAAAGTTGCAAATTTCCCATTACAGAAAATAAAATTCCTATAAAACAAGGCCAAGCTACCATTGTCTTCAGAAATTACGTGTAAGAAATAAAATCTCATCCACAGACAGTGAGTGCTTTATGTTTAAACTGGACAGGGAGATGGGGAGACGGAGGTCTTTTGTAGCAAGAAATTCAACTTCTTTAGCATGTGCTTCATTGAAACACAGGATATCCTCCTGATGTTTATCCTCCCTTCCTTATCATACCTTCTCTTTTTAATTCATATACACATGGGAATGGGTGCAAGTTTATACTAGAACTTCATATTTAGAACTAAATGGTTCAGAAATGTTATGTTAAAATTACAAATCACCTGAATACAGAAGCGAACAGTGTAGATTCCTTCCTCATTATACTCTGGGGTAATGATCACTTCCGATATTCGTGAAACCTCCGTCAGAACAGCAACGGCACTCAAAAACCAGCAATCACCAAGTCGGCCCTATTTAGAAATGGAAAATCACTTATGGATAATGCTGAGGAAAATAATCAAAAATACAATTACCATGTTGGCCAAGAGCCAAACCTGACAAACATCAGAAGGATTGACAGTCCCAGAAAATAAGCATGGACGAGCATCCAGCCGACTCTCTTTTACAATATCAGCAGGCCTCACCCATTCAGAAACAACCTAAATTCAAAAGGCCAGAAAAATTATCTAAGACCACAGATTCCATTAACAACAAAAACTAAAAGGTAATTAGAACAATAAAAAGTACCTGCAACTTTGATGGGGGATTTTCCGGATCTACAAATAATGACTGATCATTTGGAGGAAACTCCTGATCGGTAAAATGTATTTCTCCCCTTGCAGAGAGGGCTTCCTTGACTGCCAATTCAACTGAAAGCATTCGCTGGTTGATTTCGTCTTGTGTTTCCATCCTAGGTTTCCGAAACCTCCTGGCAATTGAATCCACATCAACCAGCACTGCATCACGTTCTGACCTTCGTTTCCTCCCACTAGAATATTGCCCGTCCCAATCAACGTCATCCCTATCATACAGATCTACATCTGCAGGATCACTATCCCATTCATCAACCTAGCAAAGAAAAAGGGATGAGAAAATCAATTGATAGGTTAAACCACCCACCATAATTAGAAACTAAATTACTTTCCTAGAAATTCTAGCATGGATCAATATGAAACAATATATATCTTAACGACAAAGCACATACTCTAGAGGGTGAATCTGCCCACTGCCAATTATCTTCAGGAAAATCTATCATATCGGAATCAGCTGAACCAATAGCTGAATGAAGAGCAGCAACATCATCTTCAGTTAAGCACCTTCCCCATAGGAACACATCCATAATATGCATCTTAGACTCAGCCCCTTCACTGTCTGACCTCCCAAACGCATCCACATCTGTCGGTGGTCTAACACCAACCCAAACTTCGGTTCCTTCTTCCCAAATAGTATTACCCACTTGCAATGGTAAACCTGTCTGGTAGCCATCAAAACCACCATCCAGATAGCAAGTTGCCTCACCTAAATCAGCATCAATTGTCATTGTTACCAAATGCCACCTGAAAAGCACGTACATCCAGTGAGATTCAACAGCTATCAATAACATACATTCATGGTTGATTTCCTCTTTTTTTTTTTCATACATAAAACTGGGAAATTATTGACGACCCAGACAAGATGAACAAGAGATCCATCAGAAAAACAGAAATCAAAACAGACCCGATACTAAAATATTAGAATAATAATAAAGAAAAAGAAAAAGCCAACTCAAACACAAGAATATGTGAATAATAAAAGAAACTAAATAGCCCTAAATAAACGTATGGTAATAGAGAACCATCAGGACAAATCCATGAATCAGAAAAAGTGCCAATAATTTTGTTTTAAAGGATAAGGCCCCAACCTTCCATCTGCTATACTAGTTGCACTAATACTCCACTCCTTTGCAACAGTAGTTTGTCTATCACCTTTCGTTATCAATCTAAGCCCAACTTGTCCAGCTTCAATACCTTGCTCAGAACCTGCCACCAATATTTCCCAGCAATCTTTCTTTTGAAACTCAGTGCCAAATAAGCAAACAGGCCCAGATACAGGTTGAATCATCACTGTAACGGAGAAGCTAATCTTTTGACTTTGACAAATGGTGGGATCAATGTGGCCACAGTGTCTGCCACTTGTGGTTGGCTCATCATCAAGAACGCATACAGCCCCAGAAATTCCGGTCTGCCAATGACATAAAGAAGCACAATTTCCATGAACACAGAACCTCCATAGGCATACGAGGACAAGGCAATCAAACTAAACAGATGTGACGGGACAAATAATAAGAGAAACATATTGGTATATGATAAAACCAAAGATAACAGCACAAGATATTTGAATACTTATTGAATCTACTGAATCATTGAGAGGAACTGATTACATGGTTTGATCACTTCATAAAAGGAAATGACCCGTTTCATGTATGCAGTATACCAAACACTAACTCTTTACTCATTAAGGAGTGAGACTCACTCATGGAATCCAACTCAAAGTATAGCACTATATTCTGCAAGGGTACATGTGGAAATGTTCTCAAATGCAGACAACAAGACCAGTTACCATAA